GAGGCTCTCTGATTTATTTTATTTTGGGTGTGTATGTGCGGGAGGTGACATAAATCACAGACTCTTTAGGATTAAGACATCATCACATGAAACCTTCAGCCTGATTTATGAATGGTCATAATCACTGGTACAGTACAGACTATCTATCTAACTATCACGTGGCAAACTAACTATCACGTGAAGGGGCTTACTGTAACTTTATTAACATATGAACATGAAGAATTGACTCCTAAGGATAGTAACAGAATTACTTGTGGCCTTTCCTTAATTGTTAAAATTTCATTCACAATTTTGTGAGTTAGAACCCTTACCACACACACCCTTTTTTTTTTTGAGGGAAGGAACACTTACTGAGATACTATTTGTGTCAGGCATCTGGACTGATGTTTTCATAAACTCTGTGTTTCAGATTTTGAGATGAAGATGGAACTGGAGGGCGGAGGAGGCACCTTCTGAGTATTCACTGTGCATGAAGAACTGGCTAGGCATTTGTATTCACTAAGTTGCCGATTCTGTACTGAGACTTTGAAGCTAAGTATTATTTCCATCGTGTACACAGGAAAACTGATGCAGAGTGGTAAGTACTTAAGTCAAGATAGTGAGAGATGGTTTTTGCTGCTCAACCCCATTCTTGATAAAGTCACCAAAGGAAGCAAAAGAGTGAATAGTTAGGGGAAGGGACTCTGGAATCACCTAACATTGACTCAAGGTTTACTTCTGTCACTTTGGGAACTTATTTTACACCTCACTTTCCTCATCTGGAAAACATGTAAATGATTGATCTGTATAATATCATGTGAAGAATTTTTGTTGCTGTTATTAGTTGATAATGAGTTAGCTCTAAGACATGGTGAGCCTTGTACAAAAGAACAAGGCCCTGTGCTGTCTTCATGAACACTGATATGCTTGAGCCCATACTTGAAGTCGCTATGCATTCTGAGTGCCTTCGAACCTCAGGGTTCACCTTCTAGCACTATGTATACTGGACAATATTCAATGGCGATCTATATGGGTTTTCAGTGACTTCTTTTCTGAAGTAGATTGTCAGACCTATCTTCATAGCCTTAGTTTGGAAGTTCTGCTGAACTTTTCCAACATGGGGACACTTCTGGTATTTGCATTACCATAGCAGGAGTCCTGGTGTGGCACTGTGGGCTAAGGCGCTGGAATGCAAGGTTGGTTTGAGCCACAAAGTCAGTGGTTCACACTCACCAGCCACTCCTCGGAAACCCTACACAGGGTCGCTATGCGTCAGAACCAACTCAACAGTACTTAATAGTAACAGCAATCATAGCAATATATACGCCACCACGCTACCACAAACTGATACAAGTGTGGTGGACTACATGTGATGAAATGAAATAGTATATGTGAAGTACATGCAGAGCGTGGCATGACGTAAGCACTCAACAAATGCCAGAACAGTTATTTATAAAACAGAGGCACAAACTGATATGTGATGTGCCCCTTTGGCCTAATGAAAGGGAGTGAGAGCTGAAAACCAAGGTGTTGGCGTGAGTTGCCAGCCTGACACTTCTTCCATTGTGTCAAACTCAGTAACAGTGAATAACTAGTAAGGTGACATATAACAAGGCAAATTAAAGAATTTTTTTTGTTTAAATAAAACTTTAGCTGATTTATAGACTTTAGTATGATGAAAAGTATAAGGAAAAAAAAAGCTAATTCTTACCATTATAGTCTTAACATTATTATAGGATGCTTTTAACTAATTAAAAAAATTCATAATGTTTTATAAGTTTAGTTGATTATATTAGTAGTCTAAGCTTGCTATTTTGGGAATAAGTAATCAAGGGGACTTCAAGTTTATGAAGGAATGTTCATGATTATTAGCCGTTGTTGTTGTTGTGAAATGCCATCGAGTCGATTCTGACCCATAGCGACCCTGTTTTAGGGTTTCCAAGGAGCAGCTAGTGAGCTTGAACAGCCAACCTTGAAGTTCAAATGGCTTTGCAGTCTGGCGCATTAACCCACAGCACCACACTAGGACTCCATTGGAGAGATGCAAATCAAAACAACAATGCGGTATCATCTCACACCAGCAGTAACAGCGAAGTTCAAAACAGCAGAGGACAATAAATGCTGGTGAGGATGTGGACAGACTGGGACCCTCCTACATTGCTGGTGGGAATGTAAAATGATCCAACCACTCTGGGGAACAGTATGGCACTTCCTCAGAAAGTTGGAAATAGAAATACCTTATAACCCAGCAAGTCCTCCGCAAGAAATATGATCCAGAGCACAAGTAGATATATGCACACCAATGTTTATCGCAGCACAATTCACAACAGCAAAAAGATGGAGACAGCTTAAGTACCCATCAATGGAAGAATGGATAAACAAATTTTGGTACATACACACAATAGAATATTATGTTACTCTGAGGAATAACAAGGAAGCTGCAAAACACTGTGTAACATGGATGAACCTTGAGGACTTTTGTTAGGTAAAATTAGTCGGTCACAAAAGGACAAATATTACATAAGACCATTATTGAAAAAGCTTAAGAAAAGATACCCATATTTAAAGAAAAAAAAAATTTTTTTAGTTGGTTACTGAGGTTGGAGGGAGGGGATGGTATAGTACAGGTTAGGGGATAGACACATCATAGCTCAGGTGTTGATGAGGGCTATACACAAGAAGGGAGGAGAGGGCAATATACAAGAAGGGGGAGTAGGCTGGAAAAACAAGGTAGATAGGGGAACACTTAAGTAGGTTTGCATGGGCTAAATGGGAGAGAGGTAAATGGTGATGTATACTCAACCTTGGAACAAAGGGCTCTGTGATACAGGGATTGAGACATAGTCTGAATGGGTAAAAGAGGAGAAATAATGTTAAGATGCTTGACTGTCTGATGGATACTGGCTTCCCTTGCCTACTATTATAAAATGGATTGCTGGTGTGGTGTTGTTGGTTAATGCGCTGGACTGCAAAGTCCACTTGGAACTGGGAGGCTTGCAGTTCAAGTTCACTAGCTGCTCCTTGGAAACCCTATACAAGGTTGCTATGAGTCGGAACTCGATTCGATGGCACTTAACAACAACACTAAACTCATTGGAATACTGAAAAGGGGTTGTATAGGACCTTAGGTGGAATCCTGAGCCCTATCCAGAACCTTCTGAGGTGGGACATTCCCACTAGAAAGAACATGAGACCAACCCAGCATGGCTAAAGGAACAGAAGATACTTCTTTAAAGAAAGACTAGCAGGAAGAAATAAAATCAAAACCAAAAATGGCAGTCTGATTGGCTATTAAAAGAACAAGCAAGCTGTTTGCTGGGGAGCCACCAAGGCAAGCAATCAAGTCCCTTCAGGACAAAGCCCACTCCAAGACTGAAACTCAAATGAAACACACTAAGCAAACATGTAATCTTGATGGTGACTGTGTTGGTCTACGTTTGAGTGGAAGTGGGGGGAAGTCAGTAATGAAGATACAGGCTGAGTTCAACCATGTTCCATAGACTCCTGTAAACCTTGAGATGAGAGCGAGAAGAGGAAGGGCTGGTTGGTCCAAAGTTTGGGGCAAGCTGGAAATTCTTGAGCCCACAGACATTGGGGGGGTGGTTAGAGCTGAGAGTGAAGTGTTCAGCTGATATGAAGTGGGGGGATCTCCCACAAGAACATCCAAACTTGCAGATCATACCCATTTAGCCTAGCTTTAGTGGCTTCATGACCAGAGCTTGACTAGCGGAAGGTAAAGAAATTTGATAAAAGAAGCAAGTGTAAGTTGCTACAATTTGATTAACTTGACCTATACTTATGGATGTAACAGCTCAAAATACCAGACACGCTTGCACATTTTTAAGAGGAAATTTAGTTTCAGAGTGTGTAGGGGGGGAGGCAGAATCCCCACTGAATAGTTTTCATCTTGTCTAGATGGGTCTGGTGAAAGGAGATGGGGATAGGATTCTTTTGATTCAGTAGTGAGTAAATGTTATTGTGACTAATTTTGATTGTCACAACTGTAAAGGTAGAAGTTGTGTAACATAGAGGGGGGAGTAGTTAATTTTACATTCCAGGAACAGAAGACTGTAAGACCATCAAGGGAGAAGAGCATGTGGAATGTGGGGATTTCACCAGAGACAGAGGCAGAGATGACGACATGGAGAGAGGGAGCAACTGAGGACTCTAGACTCATGGAAAGAACAAGGCTGTGTGCTGGCAGCCAGGAGGCAGGCTTGCAGAATGTGCCCTTTGGTTTTTTAAATGGTTATATATTTCTGAGTGTTTTTGTGTACATAAAAAACAAAACAAAAAACCCCCCACAAAAACTCAGAGGGAATAGAAACAAATACTGTTGATTGATAATGCATGGAGGGGATTGTACTTATCGCAATGGAACAAAATACAATAGGATGAGTGCAAAACTTATGTTCTACCATGTAAACCATCACTCAACTCACAATAAAAGCTTTTTTTTTTTTTAAAAAAAAGGTAATATAATTTTTCCGTGAACTTTTTGAAGCCCCCTTGTATTTAATGACCATCATGTATTAGGTACTATGGTACAGGCTTCATGTAGCATGCTTTATTCAATTCTTACAGCCATTGATGAGGTAGATATCATCACACCCATTTTGTAGAAGAGAATATGATGGCTCTGTAGCATTATTCCACTTGGCTAAGGTCATTTGTAGTTGTTGTTAAGTACTGCCAAGTTGGTTCCGACTCATTGTGACCTGTATAGGGTTTCTGAGGACCAGCTGGTGAATTTGAACTGCCGACCTTGCAGTTCAAATTGGCCATGTGGTCCAGCGCATTATGCCACAGCGCCACACCAGGACTCCGGATAGATAAGGTAACATGGGTTAGTAAAGGACAAATTAGATTTCAATTTTAATCCACAACTCTGACTACAAAAATTGTAAAGGATACAGCCAGCAAAAAGGTAATGACAGCTTCACGTTTTATCACTTACTCCCAACCACAAATAAAAGAGATAAAATTCACTTGCAAAAGAACATATTCAGGGTGTATTTTACCTTTTTCCAAGCACAACTGCTCCTGGGTCTTGAGATTTTGCCTCCAGCTCCTGAACTTCATCTACTAATGTTTTAAAAGCAGTCCTCTTGATACTGCAAAGAAAGAATTTCCATGGAAATCCCTTTGTGAAAACTAAAGACTTTCAAAAACTAGTATCTGGTGTACTATCATGCTGCTGATAAGTTTAACAGTAACCAAAGGATAAGGAACAGTTTTTCAAAAGAATACATCTAAAATACAACAGGGCTTAAAAAAGTTAACTGAAAAAATGGAATTAAAAGATAATGGAATTTCTCCATGAATTTTTCAAGCCCCCTCGTATTAGTTGTTTTAAGTACTAAGACAGTCATGGATATAATGGTCATAAAATAAATGGATGATGTCTATAAAAGTAAGACTCTTATAAATATGAAAATAAACATATGAAGTGAAACCTGTGAGAACTGGAACTTGATAGGACTGTCTTGCTTTTCTGGGTCTCACAAAGTTTCTGCCTTTCACAGTTTTTCTACCATTTTTCTATCACTTTCTATTAGAAGAAAATAGTTGTGTTTTCCACCTCTGATCAGTTTCTGCCTTACTCAGATTCTGGTTCTGCAGGCTTTACTGTGTATTTATTTCAATAATACCTTTTTCTGGGGGACAAATTAGCTTTTTAAAATTTGAGAAAACCTTACTAAAGCTTTTTCTTCTATTGTATACTTTATGTGTGTCTGCAGTTAGGTAAGCAACAAATTAAAGTTCATAACTAAGAACTAAGATTTGCTAAAAAAAAAAAATGTGTTTAGAAATAATACAATTCTTCTACCTTGTGCGGGTTTACAGATTGATTTCTAAAACAAAAAATAAAAACTAAAGAAAACACTCTAATGTAATTTCCCTTAATGCACTTCTTCCTGATGTTAAACTGCTTTACTGTTTATTTGATCTTTTCAGTTAGTTTTTCAGTTCTCAGTCATTCCTGTCTCCTTTATTAATGCATTCATTTAGAAGTAATTAACATTAAATAAAAATAGAATATTATTCCTATTCTGCTAATTCTATATTATTAAGGTGATGCTTCTTGTTATTAAATACTGTTAGAGTCGGTTCTGATTCCTAGTGACCCTGTATACGGTTTCCAATATTCGAGGACCCAAAAAGCCTCATTTTACACTTAGATAAATCTGAGAATTAATATACAATTAAAATACATATACATAACCGAATATTATACTTACACTTTATATGCCACATCAAGAAGTAAAGATGCCACCGGGATAAATAAGAGGCCCATCCAAAACACTCCAGAACTAAACAACATGGCTGCCTGCATAAATCATCAGAAACATTATTACTTTAAAATTCCAGACAAACACCACGGACAGTAAGGATGTACAGAATTTCAATACAATGTATGAATAGGCTGAATAAATTCAATGGAAAATGGAATGAAAAGATAATGGAATTTCTCCATGAACTTTTTGAAGCCCCTTATACTTACAATTTTTTAAATTAAGATACAGGAAAGATTATTATTCTATAAGAAAGTATATAACTGAATTCAAACTTGTGCAATATTTAGAATAAAAAATGTCAATGTGGTAAAACATGCAATGACTATTTTTTCCCTCAAGTAGCTAGAATGGAAAAGTTTTAACACGAGTAAAATCTTTTTATATTTTTCAGTGAAATTTTTATTGTTGGGGTTAATACATAGCTTGACCTTCTACTGGAGTTCATGTTTTTGACCCAGATTTAAACATACTCTGAATTAGATTGCCTTACAATTCAACAGGGTCAGGGTGAGTCAGAATTGACTTGAAGGTACCTAACAACACTACAGCATACAAAAGGAGTTCCACTTAGAAACAAAATTTACTCTTCCTGGTACTCAAATGAAGAGATCTCTGAAAATAACAATTTGATTCTCTTTGGCAGGTTTTAGATAGGAATAATTTAAATTTTTGTTCAATGACTTACGTAACTTGTGTTAGTGCATACCTGTTATTGCTAAAATCTAAGAAAATGGTAGTGTAAAATCCAAATAATACCTAAGAAAATACTTCTTTTATATTAAATCCCACAATGTTATATTAGAGCCCTTCAGGCTCCAAAGAAAATGATTCTATGATTAATAAATTATATTAGCTGCTTGCATTTATAATAAAAAATCACTTTGTAATGGAATTAGATTAAAGAGAGCTTAAAAGGAATAGTGTCATTCAATAACACCGAAAGAAATCCTTTGTTTTACCTTTTTAGTCTATATGTTTATTTAAGTTAAATTTACAGCATCTACATAAATTTACAAATTCACTGCTGTAACTTCTTTTAAAAACAGCCAATTAGTTCATGATATTTATAATCTGCAACCTACTATAAAACTTAACAGCTAATTTTTTTTTTTAAACAAGGTGTATCAGGAATTAAAAATGATCCAGAATTTTACAATCTTATAGACAGTTTCACAATTATACATAAACAGTCCTAATCAATCTATTTTTATCAAATATAAAAATTATGAGTTTCAAATTATTTTGTATATTACCTATTCATTTGGGTTTTCAACTGAGGACAGCGGACTGCTGTTTCAATTTGTCGTACATTAATAGGGGTTATTGCCTGCCCGTTCAAGGAAGCTAAGCTTTCTCCCTATAGAGGCAGGATAAAATAGTTCTGAACACTTGTCTTTAAAATAAAACCGTGTCATTAAAATTTTTTCAGAAAATAAAATTTGCCAAGTGGATTCAATGGATGGCATGCATATTCTAGATGAAAAAGAGTGTCATAAAAGTCACTTTATTTTATAAGCAAAACATGATCTTTGACATGTTTGCTGACATCCTCAATAGTGAAAACCAACATTAACTATGTAATAGGAAATGTCTATCAGGGTTTTGTTTCGATTGAAGGAAGCTTTCTAGTAAGGTAACAACTGTAAAAAAAACAAAAAACAAAATTTTTTTTTGTTTTTCTTCCAGGGGGAAAAGGTAAGACGCTAAATGGTATAACAGACGAACATCACATTTACTTGGTTTAATTTTAATCGATTTTAATTTGGGGGCATGAGAGAAGATTTATTCTTGCCTTTGCTACCTAAGTATTAAATGTCTGCCTGTGGGGGCGGGTCCGGGGCAGAAGTGGTGGTTGGAGACTGGCTGCTAATTCTGACCATTGTGATGCTAAGTATGAATGGGGGAACAACTGGTGCCCACTATTCCACTATTCAATCCACCCAGCCGCCTTTGGCTTTACAAACGAACAACATGAATTGAGGGGAAAAAAGTTTTTCTGCGTCATATCTGAAAGCCTGTCAGATTTTTTTTTCTTTTGCAGAGTTAATCCAAACCTAAAAGATTTAAAGCCGACATTCGCATTAAAGACAGAGAGTCTCTTTGTATTTTTTGGATGAAGGGGGTGGGGAATAAAATCCCACAGAGGTATTTCCTTCCTTTCTGTACAAGAAAGCTCCCCCTCACTCTGTAGAAACCATTTTTGTCTCAACTTTTCACATCTCTCCACTCTCAGGCAGGTCATCTGGGAAAAGGCAAAGGGATCCCCACAGACAATAGCAGTAACAGGAGCCGCCTGTTCGGGGCTGGGCGCAGGCTCCCTCCAAGAGCAGTCTGTAAATTGCTCCGAACGTGGGAGATGTGTGGGCCATGCCAAGTGGCCCCCACCACCCCTCCTGGAGGCCCTGTGAAACCAAATGGAATCTGCCACAAAAGTGGCCCCCAGGGGACTTGAGAAAGGACCAGCCTAGAGAGTTGCAAAGCTGGTAAAGCAGAAGGACACAGGCCCTGCGTGGGGAACAAATAACCACTTGTCTCTGCAAAATGAAGCTGATTCCAAATCGGACCACGAGGACCTCAAAAATAAACCAATGCTGCCTGGAAAACGTAGGTTTCCACAGAAGAATTGTTCTGAAATTACCATGTGAACTTGCAGAGAAAAGGCGTTTGAGAAAGTAAGAGCTCAAATGCTTTTAGCTAAGCCAAAGGGGCTTGGCCAGATAAGAGGAGCTTGCCTTCTGACCCACAATGGGGTGATCCCTTAGCACTTAGGTTCCCACACTACAAAGAATCACCTGCTTCCCTCTTCCATGTTCCCAAGTTCCATCTTGCATGGGAGATGATTTAAATGTGCTCCTTATCTCAAAATATTTTAAAAATGTGGTTCTTAAGCCTGCTGTTGTTAAGTGCTGTCCAGTCGGTTCCTCCTCACAGCGACCCTGTGTAGGGTTTCTGAGGTACAGCTGGTGATTGCTGATCTTGCTGTTCAAACCAACTTTGCAGTCCAGCGCAGTAACATGCAGCGCCATACCATTCAACTCCAAGTGGTGCTTCTTGTTAAGAGTCACTGAGTCAGTTCTGACTCATGCAGAAGCGCTGCTGGGGATTTGAACAGCTGACCTTGCAGTTAGCAGACCAGTACCAATCCTAGAGCGCCCTGCCAGGGCTCCCAAGGTAGTGACTTATCCTTGATTAATATACAGAAACTTTGAGAAAGAGTAGGGCTATCCTCACAAATCCAAGTGGAGCAGGTCTGGTGGTAAACAGCCCTGGCATTAATCCTGGCTCTGCCCTTAATTTCTGAGTCTCAGTTTCCTCAGCTATCAAATGAAGTGACAATTACACCATCCAGCAGTACTGTTAAGAATTGCACCAGATAAAGTTTGCAAATTGACTGCTTTCATTAACACTGGTTATTAATAAAATTTCATTTCTTCATTTCAATGTTTAAATTTCTTTAAATGCTCCAGTCTTTATTCTTTCTAGTGATCTGTATAATTTCCATCCTTTGAACTTCAAGGAAGAAAATGTTTACCATTTTTATAAAATTAAGTGCATGCCAGTATACAAACTTTATAATTTATCACAATATTCTATGTTTGTTTTATAGAACATTTGGAAATGCAATATTGAAATGTAGGTTAAAGTTACCTGACCATTAACAAACTGCCATCCATCTCCATTTGCTAATTTAAGGCATGGAAAGAAGTTGCTTGTTTCATAGAAATTACTGGACATTATACGGGCATAAAATATTAATTTGGGAAGAGAAAAGTATTATAGTGCTGTAAAACTTGATTAGCTATTTATCTAGATGGGGTGATAAGATAGAGTAACAGAAATTCCTGAAGGGTGAAAGACTTCACATTAACAACAATAAAAACATTAAAAACCTAGAAAGTGATTATTTTAACTGGGTAAAGCTTTATATAAAGGTTTTCAACACTTAAAAATGGTAATGAAGCTACGAAAGGAAAGTATTTAAAGAACTAATTTCTAAAACTGTAGACTTTTACATGTTCCAAAAAACATTAACTAAAAAGTAAAAGATGAGTCTGAAATTGGGAGAATGATTGCCACAAAATACAATATCTGATGATAAAATAGACCGTTTATCACAATAAGAATAGTTAAGATTCCAATAGTTAGACAAAAGACCTGAAAAGGTACTCACAAAAGAAGAAATAGTATCATGGAAAAACACTGAACTTCTATGTATCCAAAAAAAAAAAAAAAAATTACCAAATCAGATCAGATTAAAAAAAAAACATCACTATCAAATTTGGGGATGAGGGGTGTGGGAGGCAGTGTTCGGGGAGGCAGTATTTATAAGTTATCTTCCCACCAGCAATGCACTGTTGTTGCTCGGTGCCATTGAGTCAGTATTGACTCATAGTGACCTATGTACAACAGAATGAATCACTGCCCGGTCCTGTGTCAACCTCATAATCATTGCTACATTTGAGTCCCTTGCTGCTGCTACTGTGCCAATTCATCTTGTTGGGGGTCTTCCTCTTTTTCTCTGATTTTAATAAGCAAGATGATTTTCTTTAGGGACTGGTCCCTTCTGATAGTATGTCTGAAGTATGAGAAACAAAGTCTATCTGACATTCCTTTGGGAAAGGTATCCAGGCATGTGCACGAAGGACACAAACAATTCATTCCCTTTGATAATTCAATTTTTGGAACTATGTACCAACATTTGGTACAGGTTTTGCATGCAGGTTGGTATCTCATGAAATTGTCTATGGTCCTGAGTTCTGTATTTTTCTGACAGGGAACTGTGGTCCAAGGTTAAGCCAAGGAGTAAACACACCTCTTGGAGAGAGAGTCCCAGCACAAAGCAGCAGAATTAAGGTTTTGTGAAGACACAGGAAAAGGGCACTGCTGTTGTTATTAAGTACTGTCCAGTCATTTCTGGGAACTCTGGTAGCATAGTGGTTATGAATCGGACTGTGAACCAAAAGGTCAGCAGTTCGAAACTACCAGCTGTTCCGTGGGAGAAAGATGAGGTGTTTTGCTCCTGTAGAGATTT